ATTGCCAATATTTTCGGGTGATCCGTCTGGAACTAAAATTACGGAGTTTTTCGATACTCTTGCCGATGTAATGAGAATTGCAGCTTGGTCTAAAGTGCAAATCTTAGCTGTCGCAAAGCTTAAATTGACAGGAATTGCACGAGAATTTGTTAGAAAAGATAGGCGAATAAAAGAGGTTGAGGATTTTGATACTTTTAAGAAAATTATGATCGAACGATTTGAACGGGTTCCCTACACTTTAAGATTGAATAGATTTTATGGATGCGTGCAACAGAGAGGCGAAGATGTCCAAACATACGCAGTAAGATTGCAGGCATTGGCATCGGAGATAGAAATCTCTCACGAGGGAACAGACGAAGCGGAAAGGGCCATAATTCGGCGAATACAAGATAGGGAATTAGACGAACATTTGAGAGTTCAATTTCTAAATGGCATAGACGTGAAAATAAAACAGGGCGTCATGTCTAGAGAGCCAAAAACTTTTGGTGAAGCACTAGAGGTAGCGATTAGTGAGGAGTCAATTGAGGAATTAACAAACCCTCCTCGTGGAATTATAAGAATGGTCACAGAAGCTCATTCCGAAGACTGGAAGCAAACAAAAGGTCAGATAAGAGATCTTGCTGCGCAAATAGAAAATTTAAATAAAGAGTATTTTATTTCACAAAATAACTCGGAAAGACATATTAACCTACCTAAGAAACGACCACGAACTCATAGAAATATTCCTTTTCAGGATACAGAACAGACAAAGTGGAAGGGTAGAATAGGTTTGACATATATCCCATGTAGTTCAGTTAAGGACAAGGGTTGTCGAACAAACGAACACTCGCATAGAAAACGTGCTAAGGATTTTAGCGAGAAAAGTCTACAAAATAAGGGAATAGGAAGAATCGGATTGATTCGATCGAAACAAAAACCCATTGTTTTGGTATATATTAATAATATTCCGGTTAAGATGCAAATAGATCCCAGTTTAGAATGTACAATTATATCGAATGAATTGGCAAATCAACTTGAGGGTAAGGCGTATGTAAAATTTGGTAGCAAGAAAAAGATTAATAGAGTTAATGGAGAGAAGATTAAAACATTAGGTATAGTCTCACCTGTTTTTAAATTCCGAGGGTATAAATTCGTTCATACATGTAGAATAGTTAGACCGGACAGTACAGGTCCTTGTCTAGGAATTATAGGAAACGATATTCTTAAAGCACAAGGATTTTATATAGAAGACGCGAAGGAGCGTATCATATTACCTAATGGGAAAATGGTGCATTTTTGTTCAGCGGGTGAACCGCGTGGCCGCGGTGTAGGAAGACGAGAAGTAGAAATACCCACTAAAGTAGGTCTTATTAGAATGAATACGCCAATAGTTACACAACATAGGTTGCCCTATAGGCCGGATCGCATAAAAGCGAAAGAAGAGATTAAGAATAGAAGCAATACTTTGCCTGAGCGGGAAACCGTTCCGATAATTCGAGAAAATTTCTCGCAGAGAAAGTCGCGACGAAAGAAAGGAAGACGGCCACCTTCTATGTCATTCCTATCCGAATTCAAAAAGAAAAATCTCCACGGAAGGAGAAAGGTTTAAACAAAAAAGAAATTAGTTATCCTTTTCTAGCAAAAAGGCGGAATACACAAAAGAATGGTAGGGAGGAGATGAAGAACCCTACTGAGCCGATGTTAGGGGAAGAATCTTTATTTGCTGGAATGATGGATTATATTAATGAAATAAAATTTCAGTCGCGATTTGATAAAATCCAAAATTGTTAGATAGATAGGGAAATAAGAGTTAGTTAAGTTTCTCGATTTTGAAAGAGAGAGAGAAGGAGAGAGAAGAATGGAGAGAAAAGTAAGACAGGACACCGGAAGTGTATATGATAAGACTGACGGAAGTGAAGGTACTTCATAGTGAACTGACTGGACGAGCCAGCGGACCGATGAAGGAGCCCATATTCAAGTTGGTCATTGTTATTAAGTATATATGTCGACTTCTTACAAAATTGTACGCGTTACTCGACCGCCTCTTATCATTTTGTTACGCGAGCGCGAACGCGATGCGGAGTTCTGGTACGTACGCGTGTGTCAGTCATTTTTTTTTTTTGCGAAAGCAAACGCGGCGCGAAATTAAGTTTTAGAGATAATTAGGATAATTAGTAGAGAATAGTGTTATAGACAGAATGAGAGAGAGAGAGATTGGAAATCCGAAGGAAAAGGAACCTATATAGAATGCTTCAGGTCAACGGCCCAGGTCGGAAGCCAACGATACATAATGTGCTTCCGGTCCCACGAAGGTCGACACCACTATATGTCGGATATCGTCAAAAGGACAATTTTTATTCAAAAGCAAGAGGACGAACATCCAAGGAAAATGCAACCTACCTGTTGTTGCCGAAGTTGAACATCCTTTCAATTTTCTCAGCGTAAAAAAAAAAAGAAAAAAAAAATCACACCAAAAAGGTGAGCGATTTTTAGAAAAGTGGGGGATGGTGTGAGACTACAAACGCTGTTTTTATTTTTTCACTAACTGCGTAGTTAGTGAGGGTGACTTTCGTCGTCCGAAGGTCATCGACGAGGGACCACGATGTCACGTGACCCCATACGTCCGAGCGACCGGACGATAAAAATGACCATATAAGGAAATAAGTTTTTCGACGGCGCGGTAATAAATCAGGGAGAGATGTCAAAAGACGTCAGCAATTCTCAGATTTTTCCCACGCTGATCGGGTATATAAAGGGGTCGGATTTTCTACTCGGGGCTGAGCCAGGGCGCTTAAGCCGAAGAAACCCCTCTGCAAACCTCCGAAGAACTTCGTCAAGGAAGAACTCTACATATTGGGAGCGACGGAGCATACACCGTAACAGGACATCGCTCCACATAGCCTTCAAAGGACACCTCGGATTAGAAGACAACGATCACAGAGTGTTTTATCAACGCCCTATAACTGGAGAACGTTGCCTTCAAGGTAAACCCTTGCCATTATAATTTATCTCTCTCTAACGTGAGCTCTCTCTCGGATTTTAGCGTTAGGTTAGAATAGATTTTAGAATACCTATTTATATCTTGATACGCGTATGTTGTATTTAATATCTTTGTGTAAATTTTCTTAGTTATTTATTAAATGTGTTCGTTAATTTAAACCCGTGTAGTCTTTTGGACACCTGATTACGACTTCCGACTCCTCCCCACTCATATTTTCAGCCCTCCTATTGCCATCCGACAACCGAGAGCGGGTCTTTCCGACCCGTGCAGATTAAGTGGTCATTAGGCTTTAACCCAGTGGCCCCTGCTACTCACAAAAATATCACAAAATGATTGCAATGAAAAACTCTAATAATCTTTGAATGATATGCCTGCTTGTACACTGTACTATTGTACTACAAAATGCTATAGATGATGGGATGTTAATTAAAGTGCTGTTCAATATGTTATATAACTTAAGTTATTGCACCCATTAATGCTAGATTTAACAAAAAATATACATTTTTCAGTAGGTGTGCAATATATCAGCATATTTAATGCAAATAAAATTTAAACTAATTTTTTATATCATAGAAATATGTACTTAATGTTGGATATCACTTTAAAAAATTATTTATAGTCTAGGATATAATAATCTTTCCTTTTAGACTAACTTGTGTTTTTAGTCCAAATTAGCTCATAAATAAATAAAAAATTTTCCAATGTAATTCAGATGGGAGATGTCAAGTTGTATGCCTAATCATGTTAATATTAAACATCATTTAAAGAATAAGTGTGTGTATATATATATATTTATAAAGAATAAATTATATCAGACATAGCAAAAAAAAAAAAAAGAGAATTGTTTTTTCATTTATACCATCATTATTTATTGATTTTAGATGCAATTTTTTTTAAAAACAATCATTTCTCATTTTACATTTAATTTGAAAAATTTATTATTTAGGTACACAAAAATTTTAATGAAAGATATAGATGTGGTAAATGGTGCTGGAAAAGTAGACAAAATGAGATTATTGAATATCTTGATGCAGTTAAGGAAATGCTGTAATCATCCATATCTTTTTGATGGAGCTGAACCAGGTGAGCTGATTTTAACATAATTTAAGTAAATTTTCTAAAAGGTTATATTAAACATAGCATTGGACTATTGAAGACTGTCAAAGGGCAGAACTCATAGAAATGTAATTTTCATATGGATTTGAAACTTATCAAACCATTATTATTTTCATATTCTTTTTAATATGTAATAGACAGATTGAATTTTTCATTGTATTTCAAGAAAAATTAGATCGAACTGAATCAAAGTAAAATTTCAAGTTTAGTCTTATTTATATTTTCCTTATATATTTAAGTTAATGAAATAAAAAATTAAATAAACTTATGTTAAAAAATAACAAAGCAGTTTCTTTAATTATTAAAATTTAAACTTTTTATGAATTTAATATTTTATAATAAAATTAAAACAAGAGAAATGCCAAACTGGTGTTTTAAATTATTGCACACTTGCTGAGTTTATATGAATCAGCTGAATGTTAATAACATAGGTGCAATCTATGATGGAGATAATGTATTAGCAATAAGTAGTGATTAATTAAATATAGACGAAAAATAAGATCTGNCTGTATTTTTTTTCTTTGTATTTTGTTATAATCAGTATTAAATTCTCTCCTTCTGTTTTTTATTTATTTATTTTTTTAATTCTTTGTTTTAAATTTATAAACCAAAAATATATGCTAATTTTAATTTGTTAATAATATTAAATTGCATAATTTTTAAAACTTATTTTATGCAAGATTTGCAAATATAAAATTTTTAATTTATGTAGGTCCACCATATACAACTGATGAACATTTAGTTTATAATTGTGGCAAAATGGTGATCTTAGATAAATTGTTACCTAAACTTAAAGCCCAAGATTCTAGAGTTCTTATTTTTTCTCAAATGACACGTATGTTGCATAATTTTTAAAACTTATTTTATGCAAGATTTGCAAATATAAAATTTTTAATTTATGTAGGTCCACCATATACAACTGATGAACATTTAGTTTATAATTGTGGCAAAATGGTGATCTTAGATAAATTGTTACCTAAACTTAAAGCCCAAGATTCTAGAGTTCTTATTTTTTCTCAAATGACACGTATGTTGGATATTTTAGAAGATTTTTGTATTTGGAGAGGATATCAATATTGTCGATTGGATGGTCAGACTCCTCATGAAGATCGTGAGGTAATTCTAAATAGCTAAGATATTAATATATTCAAATTTATGTAAAAATCATTTAAATCATTTTTGAAATTTATTTTCCAGATTCAAATTAATGAATTTAACAAACCAGGAAGTGAAAAATTTTTATTCATGCTCAGTACACGTGCTGGAGGTCTTGGAATAAACCTTGCTACTGCAGATATTGTTATTCTTTTTGATTCTGATTGGAATCCTCAAATGGATCTTCAAGCAATGGTAATTATTAGATATATTTGTCATAGAAGAAGCTGATTTTTACTCATCTTTTTCACTTTATTAATGCTGTACAATTAAGTTTTTTTATTAGGAAGAATTTTTATACAATCTTTTAATGTATATTATTATTAATTGTCCAAAATAATAATAGAGATGGGTGACTATTACATTTCTTGAATTTGAATGTTAACCAATCTTGAATACTCATAATTCAATTACTTAATGAACTTAATTATTTTATATAACTTATTCAGTTAATAATTTATTTAATATTTATGATTTAACTTGTTTTATTTATTTTAATATATTAATAATGTAAAATAAAAAGTAACCAGAAAAACTTTAATATAATGAATATGTAATATTTAAGAAACAAAACTCAAACTTTTAATTTTTTACTTTGAGTTTTAAAGTAGATTTCTTAGGTACTCTTATCTCAGCTGCAATAGATTAACAAATAAGTCTCACCTACTGCACATTTTTATTTAAGAAAACAATAATTCAAAAACATTCAGGATCTAGTCTGCTGTTTTTGTTATCACAAATTAAACCATGGGTTCTGATGTACACAGTGGCAGATAAGTTATAAGGGAATATCATTGACAAAAAAAAAAAAAAAAAATTAAAATTTATTTGTTTAAACTTCAAAACATGATTTTTAAAAACATTTATGATGGCTAATATGGTTTATTGGACCATCTACAATACAATTGTTGTGCATTATTATGTTAATTATTCAAATGCTTTTAAGCTTTGAGTTAGTCTTACCTTTGTGTATTTCTGGATCTGCCACTGTGACTGTATATTTGGTGCAATATAGAAGGTATTCATAATGAACTATGATTGATATATTTTCTTTCTAGGATCGAGCTCATCGTATTGGTCAAACAAAAGCTGTAAAAGTATTTCGTTTAATTACTGAAAATACAGTGGAAGAAAGAATTGTGGAAAGAGCAGAAATTAAATTGAGATTAGATACTGTTGTTATTCAGCAAGGTTTGTACTGTGTAATTTATTACTTTAATTTTGAGGTTAAATATGAAATATCATTGTTTTGGATTAAGTAAAAAGAAAATACAACAGCAATATTTTGAAATATAAATTTGTTACGTGGAGATCACTGTTTTTATGCAGATATAACTAATGATTTCCATTCCTCTTTATGAGTATTTTGATTCAAATTGGTGAAATCTTAACTTTACCAAATTAACTTCATAACATAATTTTTTTTTAATCTGTTTAGCTTTGAGGAAAATGAAAACATAAAAGTTGTTCATATTATGTGATGTAAGAGGATTAAGAAATAGCTATCAGAAAAATCTAAAGTTGTCTCAGGCTACTTTTGAATACTTCTGCTGTCAGATTTTAATTGTATAGCAAGTTATTGAAATGAGATTAAATATTTTCAAATAGAATTGAATTTCTACATATTAAACATATTATAAATTACATTGTATTTTCTTCTCACTCATAATTAACTTTACTTTGCCGAATGTTTTCATAAGTTTGACTATAATTTATATATCTTTTAATGAAATACTTTTAGGTCGTCTTGTGGATGCTCAAGCTGCTAAATTAGGGAAAGAGGAAATGTTAGGAATGATTCGACATGGTGCCGATCACATTTTTGCATCCAAAGAAAGTGAAATAACTGACGAAGATATAGATGCTATTTTACAACGAGGAGAGAGAAAAGTATAAATTTAAAAGTATTATTAATTTTTGGAAATAATAGAATTTTTAAATAATACCTTTTTCTTTTATTGCATATAGACAGAAGCTTTTAGAAATCAACTGGAAAAAATGGCAGAAAGTTCTCTTAAAAATTTCACACTTGATACATCTGATAGTGTTTACAGGTTTGAAGGAGAAGATTACAGGGAGAAGCAAAAGGTCAGTTTTAGAAATAATTTCTCATGCTTCAACTTATTGTTCCAAAATGTTCAAAATAATTAGGAAATTAATAAAGAAAAGTTAGTACAGTAGATCCCCCTATAATGTGGTAGATACGTTCCACTTTATAAGAATTTCACGTTGTAGAAATCCTTAAATACATGAGCCAATCGCAGCCCGACACGTGTGAAGTTTACAGACTATGACTGTTTGAAAGGTTTTCTTCCATAAAATTAATCGATTCTAGACTAATTCGACTCAATATTTCCAAAATATGTATAATTTTTTGGAAATAATCCGTATAAACTATGCTATAAACAAAAAAATTGTAGGATTACTTACCGAGTGTGCACCGTTCAACGTCGCCATTGCTTAAGTTTGTTTTCATCGTGGAGCAGCGCACCGAATGGCAGCCGCGATTTCTGATAAGTTATTTTTCTGCAAAAAATTTGTTGACCTTTGGAGACATCATTAATATAAATAATTTTTATGGTCGTTGAATAAGAAATGTTTCTTTCACAAGAAATGTATAAAATTACAGTCCTGTATTAGACTTACGGTACCTAATTTATGTAAGTTTGCCGACGTTAAGGGGGGATAAAGTCTATCTCGCGTCAGAATGAGCCTAAGAGAAACCGCGTATGTGGGCGGTGGCGAAAGAGACAAATGAAGAACAAGTGTTTTAAAAAAGAAAACCCGTTTATTTGTTTGAATTCATGCTTACATCAATATTGGACAATTCCAAATCTCAGTGCTCCTGTGAATGGCGAAAGTTAGGGTGATCGATCGCAGCCTGGGCGGACAAGAAGGATCACTGGACGATACAGATGTTCGTTGTTAAGCTGCGGCGTCCTGGGTGATTGGCGGTTGCACAACACAATCTAACTCACAACATTAGGCTTAATCCAGAGGAGACTCTCTTTCGACAAGTTCCTCTTTTTATAGTTTTTCCCCCACTGTTCGCATTTTGGATTGGTCCCTTGTCCCATTCCTCACTTCCCGATTGGTCTCTCCTTTGTCTCCAGGTGCAAGACGAAACTTTTTCGGGTCACAGGAAAGGTCCGATTCGAGGCGTCCATCTGATACCTCTTTGTCGACTCTGCTTGGTGACTGTTTATAAAACAATAACACCTGCACTCGTAACTCAGGCTGTTATTTACCATTTTTTTTGACGTCTAAGAATTTAATGATCATTTTCATCTTTCATCTATCAAAAATTTCCTTTTTTTTTTTTTTGTTCGAAAGGTTTATCTCGGTCAACATTTTATAGACACATCTGTCAAAGATCTACCTGTTTATGAGCGCTCGTGTTAGAGTTTGTCTTCCATTAAGACCTTGACAGATAGTTTGACACATACTCGAACCGTTCCGAGTCTCGTTGTTTACATTTTGTGTCGCGCAAGAATTTCACAGTTTACTCGAGTTTGAACCTCGTCTGGGACCCCACATTTACATATTGTACAGACGATAGTAAACTCAACTTACTCGCCTAAACTCTCTGTAGCGTGTAAGTAGTTCGGCTGCTCATCTACTATTGGTCCAGATTCGACCAATCCTGTCGCGTCACGAGTCGGCGACAACGTTTTATGAGTCCCTTTTAGCATCTTTATACGAATACTGTCACAATTTTTTTGCCACGTTATAGGAACCCGCGTTATAGGGGGTCTATTGTACTGTCAATTTTATTTTAATGTTTTAGTGTGTATATAATATAAACATACTGAATAATTGAGCTACATAAATAATGTTTTCAGTTATGTTCTACTACAATTTATTTCTTAAAAAATTTCAGAGTCAACTTTTTAGCTCATTTGTCATATAAATTGCTCATGTCTAACTGAACTGTTTCAGATAAATCAAAATAGCTTAAAATATTAGTTTTTAAATATAGATAAAATCAAATTTATTCTCAATGTTTTGTAGGACCTAAATTTGAACATCACTTTCTGTGAGTTATTGAAGATAAGTTATATAGTTCTTAAATAAAAATGGTGACTTAACAATAATCGATAATTAAAATATAGTGTACCTTAAAATAAAGCAATATTTGTTTTAAAACTAAATTTTAATACTGATGATACATTCATTTTGAATGTATCATCAGTATTAAAATCTGATCACATTATAGCACTAATCTGATGATACATTCATTTTGAATGTATCATCAGATTAGTGCTATAACTTTTAAATACCATAATTTGAAAATAAATATAAAATTAATTTTAGCATCTTAACATCACACAACAAGAACACAATTAAATACTAGCAGAATTGATTTTTATAGATTCTTGCTTACCTAAAAATATATAAAATTGTTTTTAAAATCTTTTTGATGTTGGGATCTTGTAAAATTGCATATCATCTTCTAATTATGTATATTTTTTAATCATATCTTTATCTTGAATTTTTGTTTTTGATCCAAGAGAAAATTTGATTCAACCTGAAATTGAACCTAAATTCAAACTTGATCCAAATGGAGTAATTGACTTTTAATGATCAATAGTTTTTACAATTAAAAAATAATGTGTTATATAGAAATTTAACTTCATTATTTAGAAGCAATTTAACATATATTTTTGGCTGAAAGAGCAGTGTACAATGCAAAAATTCATTATGTGGAGAAATTCACCATATAGAATTCATAATATGGAAGTTTGACTGTATATACTTTCTACAATAGTAAATTTATATTTTTATTGTAGATTTCATAAAATTTATTATTTTTATCTTATTATAAATTTTTTGTTTAAAATGAAAATCTTTTCACAGACTTCTGGACTAGGTCATTGGATCGAACCTCCAAAACGAGAAAGAAAAGCTAACTATGCAGTTGATGCATATTTTAGGGAAGCTCTTCGTGTTAGTGAACCAAAGGCTCCTAAGGTGAGAAAAAAACTATGACAATATTTTCATTTTTGCAATAAAAATTGTAAAAACTTTAGTATTGTATTACGTTTATAGAAATCATTCTTTTACTTTATACAAATTATATAATGATGTTTTAAGGCTTTTTAATAAAATATATTTATTAATGTAATTAGATAAATCTGTTTGTTTTTAGATGATCATGAACTGCTGACTGTCCTATACCTTTATCATTTTATATTATTAGTAGGAATATAAATGTCCAGTATTTCAGTTATTCTATCTTTCTCTTATTATCTTTGGATTGGAAACCATGGAGTTTTGTCATCATACAAAGCAGAAGATTGATTATCTTATTAATTTTTTTTTTTTTTGTTTTGTTCAAATCATTATTTCATCTCATGAAAATGTAAATTGTACCCGAATGAGTTTGTCTTATATTGATGGATGGAAGCAATTACATTAATAAGCTTTTATAGTCCTGTTGAATTTTATTCCTACATACTTTTTTTTATTATTTTAGTGAATTTAATCAATTGTCAATTGCTGTTTGGTAATTATGTTCTAATAGAACATGATTGTCAAACTGATTAAAAATAATTATATCATTATAACATTATGATCTTTTGAAACTTTTTAATCTGGAAGAGATGACAAATTAGACTATAATTACTTAAACATTGTTAACTTTTTAATAATTTTAAATTATGATGTCAAAATTTTTGTGCAAATATTTAATTAAATTTTATTTAATTATTGAGTAAAACTTCATTACTGACTTTTCAATGTCATTAACTAGATTATCATCAATGTATTATATAATGTCTTGATTTATTTTATTTTTTTATAACAAAATTTTATTTTTATTTGTTAATACTAATGCTTTAAATTTATAATGTATACTAATGCTTTTAAAATATAACAGGCTCCAAGACCACCAAAACAACCTAATATACAAGACTTTCAGTTTTTTCCTCCAAGACTTTTTGAATTACTGGATAAAGAAATTTACTATTATAGAAAAACTATTGGTTATAAGGTATTAAATATTCATTTTAAAAAATTATTTGATATTATAGTTAATATAAATGTATTGGTTCTATATATAAATAAATATAATTAACAAAAACACTCATTTAATAAAACTAGAAAAGCTACAAGTTTATTTACACTATAAAATACCATTACAATCAATATAATGAACAAATTTAATAACTACATAGTTCAAATTTTTTATTTATATACCAGTACATACATAAATAAACATAATAATTCATTTCTTCCTTAAGCACAAGAGAAGCTAATGTGTTTCTTGTATCTGTTATAGTCACTTTTAATAGTTTTGTTATTTATATGTGCTTTGATTCATTTTTTTTTAGTAGTCATCTATTATCAGGTATTGTAAAAACCCTTACTGATTAGCAGTGTAAGTTATTAACTCCAGAAAATTCATCCTTATATAAGAAATTCAGTTATGTTCATCAGATCTTACCATTTCCTTTAAACTAAGCAGAACTGTGTAAAATCAGAGCTTGTAATCTGAAATTATATGATTCCCAATTTAACAAAATGGTGGTAGATAATTTTTGATTAAAGTTAAGTTTCCTATAATCTATATACATAAAATCAAACTCACATCTGTGCCTCTGTTTGAGTATCATGTGAAAACAGCTGAACCAGATTTAAATGAAACTTTGTACATAGAAATTGTATTTAGGATAGTCCTGGGAGGAAGGTAGTCTACTTTCCATTTTCAAAATCATTCAATTTCATAAGCTTTGATAGAATTATATCACTTGCAAGAGTAAATAGTTTACACCAGGTTGTTATCAGGTCTTTTGCATGGATAAGAAATTTTGTCTGGGGTCTCGTTGGTATGAAGTGAACCATAAAATTCAAATTCAGTAGGCCAATGCTAAGATAATTAGTAGATGAAAGTGGACATCAGTGAAAAGTGGTCAAATGAAATTTGATTGGTCAATCTATTGTTTGAGCAAAACATATGACCATTGCTGTTCACACCTGTGTCACTCATTGGATTCCTAGAATTTTTTCAACATGAAATTATTTTTGGTCTGATCTATTATGAGCAAATATTTCATTTTCCTTGTATAGATTTTTGTATGTTTATTTTTATAAGACTACATTAACTTATGTATAACTTTTTCAAGCAAACTGTAGTATCTTAGCTAGTAAGTAATAAATAAGGCTTAGGAATAGTTGCTTAAATATATTAGAATATATTTTAGGGCTTTCACTTGCCACTAGTCAGATTATTTGTACAAATAAAATTATTCATTTAACTAAGAAAACTGAGTGCATTTATCAAATTGCAAAAGGATAAATTTTGAAACCTCTAATCTTGATCTAGAATAACTAGAAACCTTGCTGGAAGTGTGGTGTAGGATTGTGGGCGGTCCCCATGGTTCTACATCAGGCCTGAATCAAGGTTTCTAATAATAATTCAAATGGCTGTCTGCCAGTAGGCAGTGTCAATGACCACCCCTTTTTAATTTCCCTAAGCTGAGCATTGTTCTCTCACCAGTAAGACATGAATAATGTAATTTTACATGATCAGTACTCTGATAGTAAATATAAATATAGATAGTTATCTGCAATGTCTATTATTAGGTTATTTCCTGCCAATGTTTAGTCAGTTGAAATTGGTAACAATTTAAACAAAAATGTGTGGTTCTTGTTGTCTTTACTGAAATAACTCAAAAGAATGTAACATTGAATTTTAATATTGTATCATAAAAGACTAATATAGTAAGTTTTGGAACATTGCCAGATAGTAGCTTTTGTTTTCAAGACTTATTAATACCTGAGATGCATCAAAATGACATCAGTTAATAAGCACTGGATGCTATATGCAGGAACTTAAATTCAGCTTAATGCTTTTGAGTAGATCTATATTATAAATAAATTTCAAAGAATGTAGTACAGAAAATTTGTGATCATAATATTTCCCACAAATTTTGAATTTTCAACAAAAGTTTAAAATGTATTCTATATGATTATAGCTTCAAAATGTACTTAAACTTTTGAACATGACTCTCAAAATTTAGTCAAATTAATATGCATTCAAAAAAGAATACAGTTCAATTTCAGTAATCTGGCCATTTACTAGTTTGGCATGTCCAACAATCCAACACTTGACTTTCAGGTATTACTGGCACTGTTGCCAGGTTGTAGACAAGCTTACATTAGTTCAAAATCCAGTTTCCACTAAATTTGAACACCTTCCCATTAAACATGATATCAAGCCTGAGTTTGAACACTAAGCTTGGGCACAATATTGAAGATTGTTAGGCTCATCATCTTAGGCTATTCAGAAATGTACAATATCTTACAACAATAATGTTTAAATATAAAAATCAGTCCTGTGAAATTTCTCACCAAAACTACTGTATGTTCCACTAAATTTAGTGGAACATACAGTAGTGGAAATTTCACAGGACTGATTTTTATATTACCATTCACTAACTTAGCAACATGATTACCAGAATTTTTTAAATGATAAAATGGCATAGTTTAACGTTTTTTTGTTCAGTTAAAATCCTTAAAGAGGAAGTAACTGAATGCCATCAAAAAGCACACAGTTCCCTACCCATTTTTGATGGGTGGGGAACTGTGTGAGGTTTTTCTCTCACATACATGACCTTGAGTGTGCAAGGCCATATATATGTGCATTTGCATATCCCCTGCCTAAACACTTCCTTAAAGTTAGATAAGAACAACACAGACAATCTAGAAAAATGGCCCTCCTGCTTCCTTCTGCCTGATGACACACAGTCTTTTTCAAATTCCCATCAACTGTGCATAATGTCTTTGATTGCATTGCATAAGCATGTCTGGCATTTGAAACCTCAAAACAACAGTTACACTGAAAATTGTGAATACAGTGAATCTTTGCAAGCCTTTACAGGATACTGGAGTAGCGATATTTTTAAGGCACTCTGGTTGCCATACCTGGCATGCAATTGGACCACTGTAATCGATCAACTGTAACCATTTACATACCTGTCTGAGACATAGCTGTATGCCAAGTTTTGCAGTATTCAGACATTTCTATCTGGGTGCGTAACTTTTTTGTCAATGAATATATATTGTGTAATTAATAATGTAATAATAATTTTTACTACATTGATTTCTGAAATATATATTTTATTAAATTGTGTATCTTTAATTTTTCAATAAGGTTCCTAAAAATATAGATCTTGGACCAGATGCTGGTCGTATACAAAAGGAAGAACAGCAGAAAATTGATGAAGCAGAACCACTTGTAGAAGATGAAGTTGCAGAAAAAGAGAAATTGCTTACAGAGGTTAATACATATTTTATCATTGTTTTATCAAATATTTTATCAATTTATTCCATGTATATATATATATATTTTAGGGTTTTACTAATTGGACAAGAAGAGATTTTAATCAGTTTATAAAAGCAAATGAAAAATATGGGCGAGATGATATTGAAAGCATTGCTAGGGAAGTTGAAGGAAAATCACCAGAAGAGGTAAGCTATAAAAGCTATTCAAACAATTAAAGTAACTGTTGCAAAAGGAATTTGTTTAAAACAAAAATATATTATGTTAAGAACTTTAAAAATTCACTGTTCTTTTTAAATTGGTAAATAAACATAAGAATTTTTTACTTAATATTTTAATCATTTTGAAAATTGCAATAGCTTGTTGGGCAGAAAAACTACTGAAAAAATACAGTATTGGAGTCTTGATACAGTTGTATTTTTTCGAAGTAAAAAAAGAAATTAACTTTTTTGTTTGAATTCTTAAATTAATAAGCAGAAATCAAAATTGAAAAGAGCTTGCTATATATTTAAATACATTTTTATTGAAAATTAAAATTATTTTTCTGAATTACCAAATAAATTGGATGAAATGGTTTACTTACATAAAAATTACATTATACAAAATTAAAGTTGTAAAAGATTATATCAGATAGTATACTCATATTTAAAATATTTTAGGAAACTGATATGATAGAATAGAATTTTTTAGAATTGTAACAGATATTACAAGACATTTTAATCAGATACCATCTCATGTCATTTTTTGATTTGTAATATTTCAAATGGAAAATGTTTTCAAAAATTCTTTGAAGACATTTGAAAGGAGTGAGTAAATTTGGATATAGAAAAGCCATAGTAGATCTAAAGTATATTGAAAATAAGTTGAATTTAAATTAGTGTTATGATTTTTAAATTTTTATACTACTATATAAAGACAAGAATTTTATTTAAAATCATTTAGTTTGCCAAAATTCAAATTTTTGAATTTATCAATTTATTGAAATTATAGAATTTGTTTTCAAAAATAATTGTTGAATAGCACACACAGTACTGAAAAAAAGTTTAGGACACTAGTGTATTTAAAGTTGTGAAAATACAAAAGAATATAATGTGTCAAAAATTACAGTCTAATAACATGTATAAGTCCATTTTATATTGGCATAATTAGTGTGTTAGCTTGTCAGACCTGATCTGCTTCCCATGCATCAAGGTAGAATTTTAAACTCCTTATTTGCCATTTAAAACTCCATAATCTTTACAGTGTAATATTTCAATGTATTTCCCAGGGTATATTTCCAACAGTACCTTTATTCCCTGGGGTAAAGCCCTTGGAATATAAAGATAATCATTTCAAAATACTTCATATTTGAAATTAAAAATAATGAATATTTTTTTATCAACTTAAAATTACTGTCAAATTGTTTTGAATTTTATAAATATAAAAATTGAGTATAATTATTAACAGTTTATTATTGACAGGAACCTTTATTATTCTATAAATCATTGTAGAAGTTATATTTAGTGTTGAAATTTTGAGAAAGGAAATGTTTTTTAGGTGTTTATAGAATTTGACATTTCAAAATTTGCAAGTGTTGTTATAATTATTAATTTTTTAGTAATAATAATAAATCATAACAATATTTGTTATAATTAATAATAATTATTGCATTAATGTGATAAATAAATTTTTCTTAAGGTTATGGAATACTCAGCTGTTTTTTGGGAAAGGTGTCATGAATTGCAAGATATTGAAAGGATAATGGCACAAATTGAAAGGGGTGAAGCACGAATCCAAAGAAGAGCAAGTATTAAAAAGGCTCTTGATGCAAAGGTAATATTTTAATATCAGTTTATCAGTATTATTATTATATTTATAGTATAATATTAAGAATTGGCTAAAGATATTTTTATAGTTTTAAATAGCCAAAATTATTTAGAATTAATAATTTTTCATTTTCATGGCGATAACAATACATACTATAAAGGAAAATCCAGATAGTCTTATTTCTCTGTTGAATGAATTTTAAGGTGCCCATTCTTATTTGTAGATATTACAATAAAAATGTATAATACTTTTTCAAGTGTCAAAATAAGTACAAAATTATTTTAAGGAAAAATGTAAAAAAACAGAAACAAACTCTTTTTGACTCATATTGGCATGGTTAATAAAGTAAATATTATAAGAATGTATGTATGTATGTATGTATGTTTTTCAGTACATTGAATAACAGATTCTTAATGAAGTTAATGATAGGTGAGTATAACAGAAAATAATTGGGCTGCAATTTTCAAATTGCAAACCTATAAATTTCCATTGGCACTGTTTGTTTATCCTTTGTTAATCTCAAGAACAGAGTTAGCTGGATGAAAGTTAAGACCAAATACAGAATACTTAAATGTTAACTATATATGAACTTTCAGTCTGGATTGGAAGTCACATGATTTTAATTCAAAATTTTCCCCAGAATGGAATTAGATAGATCTTCTGTTTTCAGGAAAAATTTTATATACAGTGGTAATACACTACTGAAATCAGGAGTATATATTTTAAATTAAATAAATTAAAATATGATTAAAACTGCAGCTCAGCACTGTGACAATGATGTCACAATAATTCTGTTTATTTTTTTTAATGGATCTGAATATAGCAGAATCTAAAATCAGAATTAATGTTTAGTATTTGAAACTTAAATTTCTGCTATTATTCATTAGGATTGAAATTGTTATCATATTTCTGTACAGAATTGATAATTACATTTTATAAAAGCTAATTTTTAATTTTATTATTTATGAAAAATTAAAATCAAAATTCTACAAAAAGTAAGTCATTTAATATTTCATTCAGATTTTTGTATTTTTTTTTATTTTCTAAAACTTGATAAATTTTTAATTGAATTATAAAATATTTTCAATATATCTGGCCCCTATCATGTTCTCGTTTGCGACATGTGTCATTGATGATTGATGTCATTGAATGATGTCATTTCAAGTTGCATTCTAAAGTAATTCTAAAAAGTAATAATAATAATTAATAAGTAATTCTAAAATTTCAGTTGATATCCATAACTTTAAATATTCTGTTATAATGATTAAAAATATTGATCTTTATTATTTATATTTATTTTTAGATGGCTAGATATCGTGCACCTTTTCATCAGTTAAGAATAGCATATGGCACAAACAAGGGAAAGAATTATACTGAAGAAGAGGACAGATTTTTAGTCTGTATGCTTCATAAACTTGGATTTGATAAAGAAAATGTTTATGATGAATTAAGAGCAGCAATTCGTCAGGCACCTCAATTTCGATTCGATTGGTTCATTAAATCTAGAACAGCAGCAGTAAGTGATTTAATGTTTATTAAAAATTTTAATTAAAAATAATTCTTATTTGAATTATTTTTTTAATTAGGAATTGCAGAGACGATGTAATACATTAATAACTCTCATTGAAAGAGAAAATCAAGAATTAGAAGAAAAAGAAAAAGCTGAAAGAAAGAAGAGAGGACCAAAACCAGGAATTCCAAAAGTAAATAAAAATGCCATCTTATTAGATAATAATAATTTGAATAATAGCAATATATTACTTGAAACACAAAATACACAAGAAATTCATATTCTTTTGGAATTAAATCAGTTTTTTTTTTTTTTAAACAAGATGCTGAATTTTGCATAAGGTGGGAAAGTAATTTCATACGATCTTATTTGCTCCAGACATAATGAGAGAATGAAAGTAAATACATTTGAAGGAAATGAGGATGTCGTCTGGCTAAGTGTGAACCCTCCAATTTAAAGATTTCATCAAATTACTTCTTTCTCCCCATATAAATGTTTGCACATTTTGGAAAAAATACAGAATTTTATTGTTTAAAATTATCATCACTTGAACAATAATAAGATACTTTTATTATATCACAAATAGATAATCATGTAGTAATAGGATAAATGATTTTCAATAAAATAAGTTTTCAAATAGATTATATATAAAAATATTGGAAAATGCAGCAGTAGATAGCAATTTACAAAATTAAGATCTAAAATATGTGTATACAGGTGATCCAAAAGAAACAGAAAATTTAAAAAATCAATCATTTGCTAAATAATAACAGTAGTATGATGAAGTTTCACATTAATGTACAGAATGAAATGGAATATAAGATTTAGATACTTAAGAAAGCAAATCACTAAGTTGATTTAAGTAAAATTATGTATTTATTATTTGTTTTTATGTAGTCACTTTTTTATGAATATATGCGATCTAAATATTTCAATTATTTAATTTTTTTCAGAGTACACAAAAAAGAAAAGCGGACGGTACTCCAGACGGAAGAGGAAGAAAGAAGAAAAAACAGCAATAAAATATATATTTATAAATACATAAAATGAAGCAAATGTAGAAATTTGATTTTGGTCTTCGATACAAAAGCACAAAATTTTTACAATACTTAAATCTACTTCGTAAAGAAACAAACTGATAGCCTCATAAGTCCGTGTGTATTGTAGATGTGCGTGTACGTGTGCATGTATATATATCTATATATATATTGATCGAATGTCTCTGTGATGCAGTAGCACAATTACCATCAAAATTAATAGTATCCATTTGTGTCTTCTATGTATTCATTCATCTTTTTATATAGAAGGGCAGTGTTGGTGATTTATCATTCAGTGTTATATTTCATATTAAAGTAAAAATTGTCATATAACAAAATGTAATAATAAAAATGATTTAAACCAGATATTATGTAAAATGAGATAATGGGAAAAAAATAGTTAAGTCAAAGTAAGCTGCTTTGTGTAAAAATATTCTGGTTTAAAAAATTTTTTTTGTCAAGAATAAAGTAAAAAATTATTAATTTTTTCAAAATAAATAACAAAAAATAAAAATTATTGACTAAAGAAAATAAAAATTTTCAGCATTCCACTTAAACAACATCACCTAATAAATTATTTTTGAAATTACATTTTTTTCATGTGTGATACAAATTTTTATTAAATAATAGTAATAATTCTAAAAAAAAATTCAAAGCAAATTTCCAAGAATTTAATAGTTTTCTACTCTGCAATGTCAGTGTACACTAATTTATTTGAAAACAATTGTAAAAAAAAACTTTTTACAAATTCAAGTATTTACAAATAAATTACAAAACAATGTCTTGATTGTCTTTTTTAAATAAGTTTGTGTTTGTCTGATAACTTGATTTAATGTAAAAGAATATAAATGAAAGTTTATTATTTTATGATCATTTTGTCCTGTTTCAAATCATTGAATTTATAATATATGGAATATTTTTAGAAATTAAACAAAATAACTTGAAATATTTTAAAATTCTTAAAAATTTCTACAGAAACACTAATTTCTAAAGAAAAAATCTCTTACCAATTATATTTACATTTTTTGTGTTAACATTTTTTTTTTTTCAAATTTTTATGTATTTGGTAATTATAGCCAATGATTGCTTCACTTATGATAAAAATGTAATTAAAAGTATTTTTTTAAAATAATTTTTTAATAAGTAATTTTATATTCTACTTGCATGTTATGTTTGGTGAAAAGACATTTCACCAGATTGTAGAAACCTTGTAGACCTGCAAATTACAATTTATAATTTAAGAACAAGCTATTCAATTAATTAAAATTTCTACACATTAATAAAATATAGATCAAATATTAAATAAAAAGGCATTAAAAATATTTTAATGAACTGCGTGTGTGTTAAGGACATTTTCGCCCGAGCGTAGAATTGGGTTTCACAAAGGAAGAACGTAGAGCTGTCGTGCATTTATTTTTTCATTGCCTAAGCGGGACCAACCAAAATTCAACGAATAATTGTGGTTATGGTAAGATTGGCATAACATATCACTAACTGAAATAGGCGTTTTCAAAAAGGAGACGTTTCTTTGACAGACGGGATCAACCGAAAACTGCAACTTGAAATGACATCATTCAAGGATAGATGAACTCGTCCGCTAGTAAATGTTTTACACATGTCGCGAACGAGAACATGATNACATATTAATTAAAAATTGAATATTGAATTGAAGTACATATACTGTACAGTATTCATATATTTTAGGATATTGTCTAACGCTTTAATTAGATATTGTGCGATCAATTGCTGAGGGTCCCGGAATCTAAGTTGGGGGATTAAATTTGGAATATGTTTTTTGGCCGGTCTTTTCCGAATATGTCGAGTCTTGTGTGTCGCCGATTACTTCCTCTTATTGTCGGCCCAGCCTTATCTCATACGATCGGAGAAAAGAAAGCCCTCTTATTTCCCCCCGATCTTAATATTAGAAAATTAAACGAAATTTTTACTTCAATTATTTAAATTTATTTAAATGTTGCTCTTTATTCAAAAAATCCCATTTATAACTGATTTGAAAACATTTATTGCAATGATATGGATAATACGAAAAATGGAGGCAGCAAATCTACGAAATTAATCCAAGATCTCCAGTTTACCAACCGAATAAAATGGATTTTACCGGTTGAATTTATCTCAATTATTTTGTAAAATCGCAACCGGATTAATTAGGCGATTAACTGCCATTATATCCCTAAACGAAAGACGAGAAAACCTTAAAAGTACACCAACAGATAACTTTCGATAAGTATATGGAATTACTGTCCTACTGAATGGATTATACGCGTCGGTAGAAGTATAACTGATAGTTGTACAGTTTATGTTATTAGACTAATGTATGTTCATTGGACAGAGAGGACTCTAGAAGATTATCTCTCGCCCGAATAGCGAAACGCGTGAATGAATAACATTACTTTCCAAGCATCATTCTATAATAATAAACCCATAGACTGGGCAATAAAGATTCTAACTTTTATATATCATGCTTTACTGCATCAATGTATCATAACATTGTAGAATGAAAATTAAAACGCCTTACCTGTCTGTTGTTTTGCTGCTTGTTAATTAATTGTTTTGAGCACAAGAAGTTTTTAAAATGTTTCCACGTCTCTTTGGAAAATTGATTTTAACATTTGAGAATGATACTCCTTCCTAGAATAATTTAAGAATTTAATTAATAAGAATAGAAAATATCCAAATGATTGATTAATTAATTAAATATTAAAATAATTTTCTAATACAGCGCATTTATTGAAAAGAATACAAGATAATATCCAAATGAATATTATTTATAATCTGATAAATTAATTTAATTCCATGTTAAATGAAAACAATCTTAAATATTTTAAATGAAAATTTAAATCTCAAACCAGAAAAATAACTTACAATTTCCAGGAAACTTTCTATTTCAAGATGGCGCCGGAGAATACGAAATGGAACGAATTCGAATCTGCCGAACGTTACAATTAATGCGTCACGCGTTACGTCATAAGTTCTACGTCAGAATATTAACTAATTGCAAATGCTTTGTTTAAAATGCTAAAATAATCTTCTTTTTCTAAAATATCGCTAAGAAATTTGTAATAAATAAAATTATAAAAATGTATTTCGTATCCTTACAGGCAGCAAATCTAGATTTATAGCGTATCTAATTTAAATTAAGTTATTTAACTTTGATAAATTATTAATCGAAAAATATTAAGTTACCTATGTTACGCAACCTTTCGTTATCAAACTTCGTACCAAAAATGTCAAAATGGAGGGAAAAAGAACTCGCAAATTCCGGAAAACTTTCTATTTCAAGATGGCGCCAGAGAATACGAAATGGAACGAATTTGAATCCGTCGAACGTTGCAATGCGTCACGCGTTACGTCACGTATTCTACGTCATAGATGTGATATTGCAAGGATTTTAATTGCTTCTTTTTAAAAAAGGTTCTTTTCAACAAATTTTTTAATCTCGAATTTGGCAAAATATTTGTTATTCAGATAAACGTGATAAAATCGCGTAGATGGCCCAGGCCCACAATAAAAAATAATTTATAATAAAATACGTGTTAGTATTTATTTTCTCGATTCTAATGCGCATCGTTTTTGGATTTTTTTTAATCTTAGGGTGCTATTATAAGCGAGCACAAAGTCGACTTAAATGCTGCCTCCTTGGCTGTTTGTTCCTCATTCCGCTCGTCAATTCGCGTACAGTACATTACGTCGTTATAAATCCTCCCAGTAATTCGGTTTTGTTTTGAAGCTGTTTGATGGTCTTTTAATTATAGCGTTGCGAGTAAACAATGTCCGGCACACAGGTCACCCATGAAGCTAAGGTTAAGAGTACAGGTATAAGCGAATCTTATTGTAAGATCAAGATTTCTTCATATTAAATAATTGCTATGTAATCTTTTTCAACAGTACTAAAACTTTTCTTTGCTCCTTGCAAAGCGCAATTACTGTAAGCAATTGTCACTTCTTTTCCTTTTATCAATTGCAATATAACAACTCTTATATCATCATCATTTGGATCTCAGAGGCAGGCAAACGGGACACTTTCCCCCTGAGATAAAGTAAAAAATTCTCACAAATTATTATCATCAAAGTGAATCAGATATGTAATCTTACACCCGGGACTCTGGGATGCTTTGATGCAATCGATATTGTATTCAATAACCTTCCTCTGATAAACCCAAACAAATAATTGTCTCCAAGTTTGTCCCGCTGAAACAAATCAGTTTGGCTATAAATAAATGGTTGAGCTACCTTCCNTATGTTTGGTGAAAAGACATTTCACCAGATTGTAGAAACCTTGTAGACCTGCAAATTACAATTTATAATTTAAGAACAAGCTATTCAATTAATTAAAATTTCTACACATTAATAAAATATAGATCAAATATTAAATAAAAAGGCATTAAAAATATTTTAATGAACTGCGTGTGTGTTAAGGACATTTTCGCCCGAGCGTAGAATTGGGTTTCACAAAGGAAGAACGTAGAGCTGTCGTGCATTTATTTTTTCATTGCCTAAGCGGGACCAACCAAAATTCAACGAATAATTGTGGTTATGGTAAGATTGGCATAACATATCACTAACTGAAATAGGCGTTTTCAAAAAGGAGACGTTTCTTTGACAGACGGGATCAACCGAAAACTGCAACTTGAAATGACATCATTCAAGGATAGATGAACTCGTCCGCTAGTAAATGTTTTACACATGTCGCGAACGAGAACATGATAGGGGCCAGTTTTCCATAAACGTGAAGAGAACCAGAAAAACTCCACGTGACTGGTCCATTGGCCAGGCGCGAACCCACGACCAGTGTTCGATGTTTTTATCCACTAGACCACTGGTGGGCTAACCATATGGTCGTGGCCCATAGTTTAAGAAACCCTATTGTAGACGAATGGTCGAGGCGGGTAAGGTGTCAGCCTACCGTTTTGGGGTCCCGGGGACGACATATCCGGAATAGACCACCACCCAAATTCCTGGATATTTTCGGGAGTGGTCCATCCCGGATACGCCGAATTTCGTCCCTCGCCATCCATCTGCCCCATTGTAGGCATAGACGAACCTGTAGTGGGTATGATTAAAATGCCCCTCTTGTTAGTACCGACAGGGTGGAAGAGAAAAAGGAAAAAAGAATTGTTTAGGAAGTTACTCTGTTAAATGTTTTATGTTTAACTACGCGCTCTCTCTCTCTCTCTCACCCAGTAGCGGATTAAAGATTTATGGACCTCGAGCACCAAGTTAACTGACTAGTTGGTTTGCTATGGAAACGTGACGTAGAATCAGTGTGATTGGTCTGGTGGACCAAAGCACGAACTCATTTTAAGATCGCTTTACGCGATAGGCTACCTGCAACATTTTGTCACACCCAAAAATACGTCTAAAAGAGATGTCGACGACTCATGTTTACACGATGCGCTGGAATACCACTTTTAAATTGTTCTGACTTGTGGGCAAGCGCAATAACATTCATTTCTCTCGAGAGCAGTAAGAACGTAATGTAACACTAAATTCAAATTTCGTCTTTGATTGGTTTGACGATGCGACAACGACCGAAAAATCTAACATTAGATTTTCTGCGACTCGTCGAACTAAAGTCACCAACAAAGGTGCATTTGTTAATAGCGGTCGCCACCATGGCCGTGCGCTGCTGTCTGTGCTGCAGACATTTGGGAACGGTGAAAGAAAGACAAGATGGCAGCGCCCGCAC